TGCAACTTTTCTCATCACGGTGAAACAAAAAAAAAAGACGTTGGCTGGCCCCTGAAAAGTGACTTTACACATGACAAATTTTTAAAGGCGAATTTAATTAGGTCGTCTGAGGAAGGTCTGCGGAGGAAAGCGCCCGAGGAATACTGTTCAGCTCTTGTGACCCGTCTTCCAGAATGACTGTACAGTGGCGCTGTCGTACGCTACAGTCGTACAGTCGTACGTACTCTTTCATGGGTACGGGGGGGGGTGGAGGTTACTATAGGCCGTACCTATAGCAACAATAGATCCATTGCTCAAAATTGTACTGTTGCACACACAACAAAGGTCAGCATTTTGTACTTTTAGTATAATAAAGGGTATAAAAACGCAACACCTAACCTGTTCTAAGCTCACATACGGTATCCTAGGCCTAATGTTAGCAACCAAGCCGCCACCATTTTCTAGTACGACAGTTTTTAGCCTTAGGGAGAGTATACGTCAAAATGCGACGTTCTATTAGGAGGACGGGTTGTAACCGACCACACGCCTCACCCCCCCCCACACCCACACACACCACACTACACATGGTGAAGACACTACCCCCACAACACCTCCCTCCCCCCCACCCAGGGCTCATATACCTCAACCCAACACCCAAACCTGCAATAATTTAACCCAACACCCAAACCTGCAATAATTTAACCCAACACCCAAACCTACAATAATTTAACCCAACACCCAAACCTGCAATAATTTAACCCAACACCCAAACCTGCAATAATTTAACCCAACACCCAAACTTACAATAATTTAACCCAACACCCGAACCTGGAATAATTTAACCCTACACCCAAACCTGGAATAATTTAACCCAACACCCAAACCTGGAATAATTTAACCCAGCACCCAAACCTGGAATAATTTAACCCAACACCCAAACCTGCAATAATTTAACCCAGCACCCAAACCTGCAATAATTTAACCCAACACCCAAACCTGCAATAATTTAACCCAACACCCAAACCTGCAATAATTTAACCCAACACCCAAACCTGCAATAATTTAACCCAACACCCAAACCTGCAATAATTTAACCCAACACCCAAACCTGGAATAATTTAACCCAGCACCCAAACCTGCAATAATTTAACCCAACACCCAAACCTGCAATAATTTAACCCAACACCCAAACCTGCAATAATTTAACCCAACACCCAAACCAGCAATAATTTAACCCAACACCCAAACTTACAATAATTTAACCCTACAGCCAAACCTGCAATAATTTAACCCTACACCCAAACCTGCAATAATTTAACCCAGCACCCAAACTTGCAATAATTTAACCCAGCACCCAAACCTGCAATAATTTAACCCAACACCCAAACTTGTAATATTCAGGGAACCCCAGTTGGCTGAAGCAGGAATCGTACATAACCCTTGGAATGCCATTCCAGTCGGACTCCAGTATCGGTTGGCTGGGCCGGGAAATTGGAAGATCAGTCTTGTGCCTCCCTCGATCATGCTCCTCTTGTAAAAGTTCTGGGATCGGTTTTATCGAACTTGGAGAAATTACAATGAACTTTGTGTGTTGAAGTTGGAGCAGCGCGGGAGTTGAATGTGCAATGATTTTGGTAGCTTCTTGAAGCTGATATTTTTGCCTGGAGGAAAGTTAGTTTTGAAAGGTTTAGAGTTGTTGTGTGGGGTGGAGGTGGTGTGGTGTGTATGCTCCCGGACGCAGGTTCGAATCCTCGTCACGGCCCTTGTGGATTTGTTCTTGTGTAGTGTGATGTGGTGTAGTAATGGTCCCGTTGTAGTGTTGTAGTACCATTGTGGTGTTGTTGTATCATTGTGATGAGAAGTACCGCTATAGACGTACCGCTGTGATGTAGTGGTTCCGTCTCTCCGAACCATCTCACACACCTGCTCTCAAAATTCCCTCCCTGAAACATTTATTATATATTGTGTATTGAGACCTCGTCGGTGGTGGACTATGCTGGGTTAGTTGTTCACGTTGGCAAGTTTGTTCCAGTATTTTTCCTTTCCTGGATATGTTGAATAGGCTGTAGGGCGTGTTAACCAATGTTGCACGCGGATCCTCATCCCTTGTACGAGTTGCTGAAGCTCTGTGTGTGTGTGTGTGTAATTAAGTGTAGTTACAGGATGAGAGCTACGCTCGTGGTGTCCCGTCTTCCCAGTACTCTTTGTCATATAACGCTTTGAAACTACTGACGGTCTTGGCCTCCACCACCTTCTCCCCTAACTGTGTGTGTGTGTGTGTGTGTGTGTGTGTGTGTGTGTGTGTGTGTGTGTGTCTGTGTCTGTGTGTGTGTGTGTGTGTGTCTGTGTGTGTGTGTGTGTGTGTGCGTGCAACGAAGGCTTCGAGCTAAATTTCATCATAAATCTGCGTGGTGGTGGTGTCAGGTGCAGGCGGAGGCAAGAAGGGTGACGCACATCCTCGCAGGATCGTTACTCCCCACAAAGAACACCTTAGTGTTCTCCAGTGTGTGTTCCTTCCGGCGAGCACCCCAGTTCACTCTCAACTTGAGAACACCCCCCCCCCCTCCCCCCTCCCCCCCCACTCCCCACCAAGCTTTGAGGTCATTCTGAACGTAAACCTCCCCCCCCCCACCTCCCCTCCTCTTCTGAGGTTCACGGTTTAACAAAGCGACAAAGTTATCAAATGTATACCTCAACTACTTACGAAACCTGTACATCTTTCGTCAATCATGGCGGCTTTGTTTACATTTATTAAACAGTTTATGAGCTCCGAGGGGTCTACGAAGTTGTTTATAACAATAATAACCTTGAGTTGTGAAGTTTCCAAGCTCGTGAAATGTTTAATAAATGTAAACAAAGCCGCCATGATTGAGGAAAGATGCACAGGTTCCGGAAGTAGTTGTGTGAATGTTTGATGACTCCTGGCCTTGTCGTGCACACGTTCTATGTACAGTACTTTCTTGGGAGAGTTTCTGCTTCGAAAGTTACTAGAAGCCTGTGAAATATGGATTCAAATGTGTTGTTGCAATTGGAACTGCTAGATGACTGCTGTACTAGGCTGACTCTGCTAGTCTTGTGTACTTACCTAATTTACCTAATTGTGCTTGCGGGGGTTGAGCTCTGGCTCTTTGGTCCCGCCTCTCAACTGTCAATCAACTGGTGTACAGGTTCCTGAAGGAGAATCCTTCAATTCCTGAATAATCCTGGAGAATAGGATTAAATCTGGAGAATAGAAGAAAAACACAGGAGAATAATCCTGTGTGTGTGTACTCACCTAGTTGTGTTTGCGGGGGTTGAGTTCTGGCTCTTTGGTCCCGCCTCTGGCTCTTTGGTCCCGCTGTGTGTGTATGTGACGGGGGACGAGAGACAATGCGGCCAAAGACCACAGGCCCAGAGACACTTCAACATGCTACACTGCCAAACACCTCCGGGCTACTCATGCCCGTGCCGCGTCTTCTGGTTAGTCTTCAGGGAGCACTCTGAGGCACAGAGGCGCTCTCGGTACAACGGACACACCAGGGTTCTCAGATTACGGGTTATTCATGCCCGTGCCATCTCCTGGGTGGCTTAATCTTTATCAATCGGTTCTCAGAGAAGGTTTCACCTATGCATCTGTGTGGTCGGACGTGGCCGGATGAGGCCGGACGTGGCCGGATGAGGTCGGACGTGGCCGGACGTGGCCGGATGAAACACGAAAGTTTCGACAAGTAATACGTCACGAAATTTTGAAATGTTAATTATCATAAAAAATGTAATGACGGAGTTGCTGAAGCAGAGACTGGTAAACCAAAGGAAATGTATTCACCAATGGGTAGTACAAAGTAGAAGTTTACAGCTGTGGGTACCACAGGGGAAAGTTTACATACCTGGCACTTCAGCTCAAGCTCCCATAGTCTACATTAATTTTAAATCGACGCCAAATGGCTGATTTGTCACGTGCCGTTGTAGTAATTCAGATGAACCTATATCAACATGCAAGAGTCCTTTCTAATCATTTTTTTAACCCAGTGTATACCCGCATACCCTAGGAGGCCTGGTCGAGAACCGGGCCGCAGGGACATTGAGCCCCGAAATCATCTCAAGATAACCTTAAGAAGAAGATAGACCCGCTGACCTTTCCCAGGATGCAACCCACAACAGTTCCCTAACTCCCGGGTACTTATTTGTTGCTAGATGAATAGTTGCATGAGATGAAAGGAGACGTGCCCAAACATGTCTGTCCTTGGCGACGGCTAAACCTCTCGGGTTGTGACGCGACTGTTGTGACTACTGCGCTACTGGAGCTGGGATATGACGACAGTGAAGGAACAGTGGCCAAACCCCTTAAGCCATCGGGGCTCGAACTCTGATTCTGCAAGAAGCGAGGCAGCTCGTGTGCCGATCAGTTACAGCTGACACAATCATTCCTTAAGAGTGGCATGACAAGGCAAGCGATAAGGAGGCAGTCAAAAGAGCAGTTGGTCTTTCTCTCTGTCTCTCTGTCTCTCTCTCTCTCTCTCTCTCTCTCTCTCTCTCTCTCTCTCTCTCTCTCTCTCTCTCTCTCTCCCCCTCTCCCTCTCCCCCCCACCCGTCAGCCACACCCACACAGTGCTCCACTTATGCAGGTCCCACCTCTAGCATTCCTCGGGTAATATATGGATACCGATAGCGGTTAAATAAAGCAAATTTTATCGTTTCTATTCATGTGGGATATTTCCAGCGTCTTTCCAGGGGGTGGGGAAATATTCCAGGCTTTAGTGCTAACAAATGTGGAGGAGCTTTCCAGGCCGAGATATGGAACCTTCCATTCCACATTTGCCGAAGAAGATGATTTTCCTATGCGTGCATGCGCCGTCAATAGCTATATATTTCCTCGCCCGGGGAGACTGGAGGTGTATGGATCTCCATGCAGCCTCCTTGAGTCTACTGGAGGCTCCTGGAACGTTCTGGAGTCTTTTGGAGCCTCGTGGAATCTCCAGGAGACTTCTAGAAGATTCTGGAGTCTTGTAGAAGGTTCTGGAGCCTTGTAGAAGATTCTGGAGTCATGTAGAAGATTCTGGAGTCTTGTAGAAGATTCTGGAGTCTTGTAGAAGATTCTGGAGCCTTGTAGAAGATTCTGGAGACTTGTAGAAGATTCTGGAGACTTGTAGAAGATTCTGGAGTCTTGTAGAAGATTCTGGAGACTTGTAGAAGATTCTGGAGTCTTGTAGAAGATTCTGGAGTCTTGTAGAAGATTCTGGAGTCTTGTAGAAGATTCTGGAGTCTTGTAGAAGATTCTGGAGTCTTGTAGAAGATTCTGGAGTCTTGTAGAAGATTCTGGAGTCTTGTAGAAGGTTCTGGAGACTTGTAGAAGATTCTGGGGACTTGTAGAAGATTCTGGAGACTTGTAGAAGATTCTGGAGACTTGTAGAAGATTCTGGAGACTTGTAGAAGATTCTGGAGTCTTGTAGAAGATTCTGGAGTCTTGTAGAAGATTCTGGAGACTTGTAGAAGATTCTGGAGACTTGTAGAAGATTCTGGAGACTTGTAGAAGATTCTGGAGACTTGTAGAAGATTCTGGAGACTTGTAGAAGATTCTGGAGACTTGTAGAAGATTCTGGAGACTTGTAGAAGATTCTGGAGACTTGTAGAAGATTCTGGAGTCTTGTAGAAGATTCTGGAGACTTGTAGAAGATTCTGGAGCCTTGTAGAAGATTCTGGAGCTTCCTAGAGCCTCCCGGAGTCTCCCGGAACTGGATCTTTTGACGGGTGACAGATGTTGTACGATAGTTTGAATCTGCTGGAGCATTCAGGTATTTCTTTTGCTGGTGGGGGTCCTTGGGCCCCCACAGAGCGTGGGGTCCTCGGGCCCCCAGAGAGCGTGGGGTCCTTGGGCCCCCAGAGAGCGTGGGGTCCTTGGGCCCCCAGAGAGCGTGGGGTCCTTGGGCCCCCAGAGAGCGTGGGGTCCTTGGGCCCCCAGAGAGCGTGGGGTCCTTGGGCCCCCAGAGAGCGTGGGGTCCTTGGGCCCCCATATAATGTTGGTCAACAGTACACTAGAGGACAACACCCCCTTCCCTTCAGTAATAATCCTGCCTGGGAGTGTATCCTGCCCGAATACCTTCTAGTTTACACCAAAACAAACCTCAGCAATAGATTTTGACACGTAAGCTGGGCTCCGTAGAGGCCATATACGCGGGGAATGAAAGGTTAGATTAGGTTCCCTGTTCGTAGGTGTGGAGAATGGTAGCCGGTAATGGCCGCCAGTATAAATGGTCGCCGTAAACTTTAGAGTAATACATTCTAACACACTAAAAGCTTGTGGAACGTGAGGCACTGTATAACACCAATTCCTGGTACTCTGGTAAAGACTGGTACTCTGGTATTTGTGAATCCTTGCCGATGGTAAGCCTTATACTCACTAGATTCCCTGCAACTCGATCCGTCAGTCGTTTAACAACCAGGTTCCTAATTACTGCTGGGTGAATAGAGGCGAACATTTCAGGATTCACGCCTAGTCAATCCTCCCCAGCCAGGACTCGAACCCAGACCAAATCGTTCGTGGGGCGAGTGTGTTACTACACTGTTGACGGAAGCATATATGTGGTTCTTTTGCAACATTGAAAATGGTGTACTCTAAATTGAGGCAGCATTGGCAACCTGCCATCTGGAAATGCCGGGCATTTAGTTTATTAGCTAACTATCCAATCCGGATATAGCACAGAACGGTTATGATATTGGTAGACTGGGAGCCGGATAACCGGAACTGATGGGTAGAGTAGTAAGCGGATATCTAGAAAAGGTAGATTGTGCAACCCGTTCTCGCACTTGCTTATAGTCAATATTGGCTTATTTAATAAGTGCATATGTGACAGACTAATTGATTGTGAATATTTTAGTTTACCTTGAAAAGCTTCATAGAAAACACCGACCTCACCTAACCTTCTTAGTATGTTAAGATAAGCATCTTATTGCTTTTTAATTACAATTATTACTTAACCTATACAGTTGATAGGTTAAGTAATAATTGTAAATAAGAAGCAATAAGATGCTTATCTTAACATACTAAGAAGGTTAGGTGAGGTCGGTGTTTTCTATGAAGCTTTTCAAGGTAAACTAAAATATTCACAATCAATTAGTCTGTCACATATGCACTTATTAAATAAGCCAATATTGACTATAAGCAAGTGCGAGAACGGGTTGCAGTGTGAGATGTGAGCCAGATTTTTGGAGTTTGTAGGCTTCGGGCCTCCAGAGTGGGCGCCAGGATCAAGATATCAGGCTATCTGGAATTTGGAAATGACAAAAGATGCAGTTTTCAGCTTCATATTGTCTATTAACACCATTTATTTTGTTGTTTACACAAGAGGGTACGAGAGTAGACAACCGCTGACTCGTGCTAGCAGGCTGATGAGAGCTTTCCATTTCCACAGCTCAGGGTAAGCCTTACCCATTAGTGTTACCTCTATTATTTGCTCCTATTTCCACCCTGTTCCTGTTGGGCAGCAAGGTTGCTTACCTCAGTGTCCTGTCATTCCCATTTCCCTTCACTATTTCCTACGTCAACCATTTCTCTTCCCAGCTCCCTACTCATCCGTCACGTCCCCTCTATATCATATTTAGGGACGGGTCCCTTATCATGGCCACCCGTCCCTGGCCCATTTAGGGCTGACGGGTGAATATATAGTAGCTTCTGTCTGTTGAATTATCCATTTTTTTTTTAAGTTATGGTGTATGGAAGGGAGCCGGTCGGCCGAGCGGACAGCACACTGGAGTTGTGATCCTGTGGTCCCGGGTTCGATCCCAGGCGCCGGCGAGACACAATGGGCAGAGTTTCTTTCACCCTATGCCCCTGTTACCTAGCAGTAAAATAGGTACCTGGGTGTTAGTCAGCTGTCACGGGGTGCTTCCTAGGGGTGGAGGCCTGGTCGAGGACCGGGCCGCGGGGACACTAAAAGCCCCGAAATCATTTCAAGATAACCTCAAGATGGTAGGGCAGGAGTAAGGACTGTCTCCCCTCTGTACCCTTTCAATCCCCCTTTTCTCCCCTTTCCATCTTTCTTTCATTTTCCTCCATCTTCCCTCTCTATCATAACTTCCCTCTTCCTTCCTCCTTCCCCCTCACCTGTCTCCCCTCTATCTTAAAATGTCACAGTTTCCCCTCTATGTGTCTCCTCATGGTGTCCTCCCTCCCCCGTCTCAGCGTCCATGAGGGGAGAGGGTCGAGGGGTCCCGTCGGCCAGGTTTTTATTCAGCAGGTAGAGGGGACCAGGGATCAAGGGGAGGGTGAAAGGCGCCACCACCACCACCAGGGGCTTAAAGCGGAGGCTGTATGGACCGCTGCCATCATTATTGGGAGGCCTTAGTGGTCCACTGGCCCTCTTCCGGGTCCACTGGCCCTCTTCCGGGTCCACTGGCCCTCTACCGGTCCACTGGCCCTCTTCCGGGTCCACTGGCCCTCTTCCGGGTCCACTGGCCCTCTTCCAGGTCCACTGGCCCTCTACCGGTCCACTGGCCCTCTTCCGGGTCCACTGGCCCTCTTCCGGTCCCAGATGGGTACAGCAGTATACGCCTGTTGGCACGCCTGCAAGGCATCAGGAAGGGGCCTGATGGCTGAGTGGACAGCGCTCTGGACTCGTAATCCTAGCGTCCGGGTTCGATCCCCGTCGATGGCAGAAACAAAATGAGCAGAGTTTTTTTTTCACCCTGATGCCCCCTGTTACCTAGCATAATAGGTACCTGGGAATTGGACAGCTGTTACGGGCTGCTTCCTGGGTGGGTGTGTGTGTGGAGAAAAAAAATAGTAGTTAGTAACAGTTGATTGACAGTTGAGAGGCGGGCCGAAAGAGCAGAGCTCAACTCCCGCAAGCACAACTAGGTGAATAGACTCCCGGTTGCAATTCTTTTGACTATGTCGTGGCCTAGTCGACTAAGGCATCATCCCGGGCGTAAGTTCGAACCCTCATCACGGCCCTTGTGGATTTGTTCATGGACAGAGTGGTTTAAGACGGTCGTTAAGGTTATCTTGAGGTTATCTTGAGATGATTTCGGGGCTTAGTGTCCCCGCGGCCCGGTCCTCGACCAGGCCTCCACCCCCAGGAAGCAGCAGCCCGTGACAGCTGACTAACACCCAGGTACCTATTTTACTGCTAGGTAACAGGGGCATAGGGTGAAAGAAACTCTGCCCATTGTTTCTCGCCGGCGCCTGGGATCCAACCCAGGACCACAGGATCACAAGTCCAGCGTGCTGTCCGCTCGGCCGACCGGCTCCCAGGTCCACAAACAACACCAATAACCCACAACATATTCCCCCACATTTGTGATCCTGTGGTCCTGGGTTCGATCCCAGGCGCCGGCGAGAAACAATGGGCAGAGTTTCTTTCACCCTATGCCCCTGTTATCTAACAGTAAAAAAAATAGGTACCTGGGTGTTAGTCAGCTGTCACGGGCTGCTTCCTGGGGGTGGAGGCCTGGTCGAGGACCGGGCCGCGGGGACACTAAAGCCCCGAAATCATCTCAAGATAACCTCAAGATGGAGTCAGACCCCTGCACCAGGAGCTCCCTGGACCCCCACACACACACACTGCTCCCTTCACTCTATAATTTACACCACCCGTCGTAAATCGTTCCAAGGCGCTGAATTTATATAGATTCATTAGGCTGTGGTGGTTGGTGGGGTGCGACTAGATTAGGAAAGAGGGCGGAAGGGTCGTTACCGGCAAGATAGGGAGGTTGTTAGGTTCCTGGTAGGTTGTGGGGGGGGGGGTTATGACTAGAGCTGGATGGGGAGATTGTTAGGTTCCTGGTAGGTTGTGGGGGGGGTTATGACTAGAGCTGGATGGGGAGATTGTTAGGTTCCTGGTAGGTTGTGGGGGGGGTTATGACTAGAGCTGGATGGGGAGGTTGTTAGGTTCCTGGTAGGTTGTGGGGGGGGGGTTATTACTAGAGCTGGATGGGGAGATTGTTAGGTTCCTGGTAGGTTGTGGGGGGGGGTTATGACTAGAGCTGGATGGGGAGATTGTTAGGTTCCTGGTAGGTTGTGGGGGGGGGGTTATGACTAGAGCTGGATGGGGAGGTTGTTAGGTTCCTGGTAGGTTGTGGGGGGGGGTTATGACTAGAGCTGGATGGGGAGGTTGTTAGGTTCCTGGTAGGTTGTGGGGGGGGGGTGTTACGACCAGGACTAGATGGGGAGGTTGGGATATACAACCATGTGAGAGAGAGAATATTTACATGGAAGGACATGGATTACATGCAGATGTGGCAACAGTGTAACAGTCTACAGCTAACAGCCCCTGCGGCAAACAATGCAACAGTCCACGGCTAACAGCCCCTGCGGCAAACAATGCAACAGTCCACGACTAACAGCCCCTGCGGCAAACAATGCAACAGTCCACGACTAACAGCCCCTGCGGCAAACAATGCAACAGTCCACGGCTAACAGCCCCTGCGGCAAACAATGCAACAGTCCACGGCTAACAGCCCCTGCGGCAAACAATGCAACAGTCCACGGCTAACAGCCCCTGCGGCAAACAATGCAACAGTCCACGGCTAACAGCCCCTGCGGCAAACAATGCAACAGTCCACGGCTAACAGCCCCTGCGGCAAACAATGCAACAGTCCACGGCTAACAGCCCCTGCGGCAAACAATGCAACAGGCCACGGCTAACAGCCCCTGCGGCAAACAATGCAACAGTCCACGACTAACAGCCCCTGCGGCAAACAATGCAACAGTCCACGACTAACAGCCCCTGCGGCAAACAATGCAACAGTCCACGGCTAACAGCCCCTGCGGCAAACAATGCAACAGTCCACGGCTAACAGCCCCTGCGGCAAACAATGCAACAGTCCACGACTAACAGCCCCTGCGGCAAACAATGCAACAGTCCACGGCTAACAGCCCCTGCGGCAAACAATGCAACAGTCCACGGCTAACAGCCCCTGCGGCAAACAATGCAACAGTCCACGGCTAACAGCCCCTGCGGCAAACAATGCAACAGTCCACGGCTAACAGCCCCTGCGGCAAACAATGCAACAG